AACCAAGCACAAAGTGTGAAAAGTATAGATATAAATTGTGTGGTCATAAAATTTGTGTTTTTCTCTTATAAAATGTAATGTGTAATGTAATTCATTACTTAAACAAAGTAATTGTAATTTAATTAATTACTTTTCTAAATGAGGGTAATGGTAATTGTAATGGTAAAAATTTCAAAGTAATTGTAATTTAATGCATTACATTTAAAGTAATTGACCCCAGGTCTGGTATGTATGTATTAAGATGCCTTAATGGAATGAACATTCAGATACATAAAAAAGATCTTATTCTTTTGATTTAATTTAAGCACATGTTTCAGATGTCATATTATGTGCATATATAACTACTATTCATGATCATAGTGCATTCATGAACACATCTTTGGATTGTACAATTACATGCATCATATGTAGATCATTATTCGTTTGTCAAGTGGTGATACAAGATTACTAAGAAAAGCAGATACAGTGACTATCTGACTTGCTATAATGGTTTTAAAGATAATGGCATAACAGTTGACAACAGTTGAAAGCATTTTAATCTCTGAATTGCCCTCTCTTCATGTATTCGAAGTGTAGCAATGTTTCGTGTATCATGCACTTGAGAGGCTGTGAGTTGTTTCCCCTTTTCCTAATTACCGGTACATTTTATCGTAAAAGGTGGTATTATCAACTTTGCCTTCCTTTCAAGTAAGTAGCCCTTTATTAAAAAGCCATGGTCCACCATTACCTCATCTCCAGGAGAAATTAGGTCAAGAAATCCACTTTTAACCATGATATATCTGTCTGAAACATTCCCTCCCCATAACTCAAACACAAAAGAGAAGGCACCAGAGGGAGTGATTCCAACAAGGCACTTTAATGTGTTATGGCTCTTATAGTTATTGTATGTTTGATGCTGTGCTGTAGGGGTATGTGGCCGCTGAACAAAAATCTCTGTTCAGTCGATTACTCTGAACTCTTGTCCTAGGAAAAGCTTTCTTGAACCAGTGTGGCATGAATTTCCTTACTTGTGCTCTTGAAGGCCATTTATACCTATATAAAATATATTTGCATAGTAATACTTTCAAAGTCAAAATACTAGTATTCTGTATGAATTATATTACATTATTTGTGAATCTAAATAAATAAATATATATATAATATATTTACCAATTACCAGTAATTAATTTATTTAAGGAAATAAACCATTTGTAATATAATAAGATATTTTCATAAAATATTAACAATATTTAGATTTTTATTTGAAATTTAGACAAATTAGTGAACTTGCAGTTTGAATCTTATATTTATTAGTAACACACTCTATATATGAGATTAATCCATGTGCTAAATATTTGGTATACCCGACTCTCAGCTACCCCAAACAAGTTAGCAAGTAAAGAGGTGTTGACACCAAGTCAAATTCTGAGGAGTGTCATAAAGAATTCTTCGAATCTAGTCAGCTTCCTGGATGGCCCTGGGTTTTTTTATATTGACCCTCTTCACACTTCTTCTCTGTTGATGTAGACCTGGTATACATGTATATTCATAGCGGTTGTATTCGCATATGCATGCTGACGTTTTTCAGTGGAGGTGGTTTCTATTTTGGAATCTTGAAATTGTAGCGACTAAATAGGATGGGGATAAGATTGTTTTCAGTGGGACAGCCATCTGCAAAATGTAGGGAACAAACGGAGTGGTGTCGTTTAGGGGAAAACGTCTCGTCTCGAAAGACCTGCTGAGGCCACTGCCTTCGTAATTTGAGTTTCCTCTTAAAATTGGACGCCTTGCATCCAAGGATAAGTGCCTCAACTGGCCTCCCGTCTGCTGCACTCCCTGGCAAAGAACACTAGTAGTTGTTGGAATATCTGTGTTCTTTCTTTTTTTAAGACGTCGAATAATTTCGTCTGCTTAATATTTCGTTGCGATGTAAACATTCGCCATTACAATGTCCTACATTTCCTTATTATCACGTGACTGCTGTGTGTAAAAGTCAGCCGTAAACCACGATTCCGGCGTATCTCGAAAGTTCCGTATTGACCAATCAAAATGAACTCAGTCAATTGTAGTTCCATACATAATAAAGAAATATTTTTTTTATTGTGAGAAATTTTTTTAATTTCCCTTATTCTATTTTTACATTTTTGGTATCTGTGCTTAGGATATTTTATGTACTTTGTAAAATATTAAAGGTTTTTGACAGGAACTATTTCTTTCGGGGCATAGGAGGCCACTTCCTGGGGTGCACACAGGATGTTTATAAACACATTGAATACACGTGGTTTTGAGGGTATTCCTGTTTGCGGATGGAAAAAATCAGAAAATGCCGTGTAGGTACCCTATTTTTTGGTGTCAGCTGATGTGACTGGTAACGTTTAACACTTCCTGCTAAATATTTTTTCATGAATTCGAATACCTGATTTTTAATGATTTTTTATTCTATATAGAATTACATAGTGAAAACAATTACCGGTGTGATACCTTTAGGCGCCATATTGAGAACATTAAGAATTTCGAACCCGATCTAAATTCAACGGATTTCTCTAAAATCCATATCTTCTAAGTAATTTTTAATAAAATTTTAAACTCCTTCAAATTTTCATTAATCATATAAATCACATTTTCCCCATTGTTTTGAGTACAACTGGAAGTACATGTTTCTCGTTTATTCCTTGTAAATAAAATTTCACATCAAATATTTATCTTTGTTTTACTTTGTGTTGCTGGAATTCAGTTGAACCTGACTATCCCAAGAGCAGACTATTATCCCCTCTTAGGGTAGCAGTACAGTAGAATAGAGGGCCGTAGCAAGTCCCCCCCCCTTGAAGAAACACTCAAAAATATCATTTTTGAAACAGAGTAAATCATAATTCATTTGTTTAAAGTAACACTGCTAGATTTTCTTTATTTTACATGTGAAAAATTACTTCAAGGATGCACCAGAACCCACCAAAATGTATATTCATTTATTAATGATTTTAATTTAAGGATTGCACAGGATTGAGTCCTGGAAAAATCTTGTGGCCAGGGTGGCATATGCCCACCCCCCCCCCCACCCCCCACCCCCCAAAAGGTATAAGTAACACAGGCACTTGATTTGATAAAAAAAATTAACCCATAGTATAATAACATTGCGTTATTACTATACTATGGGTTAAAAAAATTATTACTGAAACAAGTGCCTGTGATAAGTAAGTAGTAAGTAAAAATACTAATAAAAGTACTTCATAACATACTAATTGGTACAGTGTGCCCCAAAGAGGCATATAAGTAAGAAGTAAGTACAAGTAAACCCAATTTTATTAATACACCAATTAGCACAGTTATCATAAGTACATGTATCATACAACAAAAATATGTATGTATACTTATCTTGAAGCTTTTTTGACATTTAAATCTTCTATTTAGAATTTTATTGATTTTTATTTTTAAATTGGGCAGTTGTGGTACACTACCCCCGTTTTATATCCTTTTTCTTTTGATAATAAATACATTTTATCATTTCATATAAAGACTTCAAAATTATCTTTCAAATTGGTAGACCCAGGATTTTTTTTAAAGGGGGTTCAACCGGCTAATAATGGGGTCTGAGCCAGTGAGGGCCACCTTGTGGCCCCAGTGGGTAAAGGACAAAAGCCCCTTTAAGCTCACAGGATTTGGGTCCTTTTTAAATCAGTTTTGTGAGTTGTGTTATGTATATTTTATGTATAATAAAAGCAATATCTAACAAAAAAATAATGATTATTTCACCTTTACTAAATTTTGGCACACATGAGGGGGAAGAGGGATATATAGAAACTGTTTTAAGAACAGTTTTTTACGGTAATAGAAATTTCATATTCATCCAGGATTTTGGTTTCAAAATACGAATAATAGATTTACCTCCTAAAATTATGTTTCTGGGGAACATAACAAATTTTAGTTTAATGCTTTTAAGGCAGTGAAAAGGAATTATACACTTAGAGACCTTGAAGACTCAGATTCATATTTGAGTTGTTATGTATATAATTATGATATATGCTGATAAAACAGATTATGACATAATATTAAAAAATCATTTATACCTAAAAATTATCAAATTTAGTACCTTAGAAAATTACATGTATTAATAGCCAAATTATTGTTACTACAAAATAACATATCTTAACTTATAATATCTAAAATTATAGACAGAAACTGTTTACATCATTGAAAACTGCAGAATAGAGTAAAAACCTCTGCAATACCTTAAATTCTTGAACATGTAATTGTAGAAGTAGTCTTTGACAATATATGACATTGTAAGTCTTGTTCAAATCTTAAACCAAATTTTACTCATGCATTGTTCAAAAATTAAAGAGTGTCATAAAAGGAAGGAGGTGGCTTGTGTTGCATTAATTTTTGTAGAATCGTTTGTTATTGTATCTCAAAACACAAGTCCCAGATTCTCGTACACAAGAAACAACCCCCCCCCCACCCCCCCCACCCCCCGCGCTTACTATCAGCTTCTTTAAATAATGCGTCAATCATATCCATGTTTCGAACGTCAAACCATGAGCATCCACAAACTTAATAATTAATAAAATAAATATTTGATGGTTTTTAAAAAGATGTATCATTATGAATGAAAAGAAATTAAAAATGTGTATTCAGAATTTCCTCGACGTTCGCAGTTAGCCAATATTGACGCTATGCAAGCGCGTCGTATAAAAAGAGGAAAATAATATACAAAAGACGTATAAAACATAAAAAACAGCTGCAAATGATAGTAAGTAACAGATTTATACTTACGAAAAAGGATCCAAAGCACTTCGAAGCGTCTGCCATCGTCTTCTTTTCTGGTTCTCCAGGTCGACCGGAAACCTGGATCCGGTTGTATCAATATTTAAAGAATAATTAAAACTTCATTAAACTGATCATTTTTAATGTGTCATTAAATTCCGTTGTATCAATGTTTTAATGAACGAATCGATGCATTAAAGCTTCATTAACTTCTCTAATTTTAATGAAGCCAAGAGGGCTTCTTTAAACGCTCATTAACAATGGCGGCCAACGTAATGTTTGGTCAGTTGGGTAGAAGAAGAGCGGATAGGGTTTTTAGAGAACGTTTTTCTGTACAAAACATGAGTGAAGAGGAAATTCGGAGGCGGTATCGATTTGGAAAGGAATCAATAAAACAAATCGTGGATTTACTTGACCCAGTAATCGGCCATAGAACTAGAAGGTCGCAGGCATTATCAACAGAAATACAGGTATATAACTGATAAAAAAAAACTCACTTTGTCATGTACTGTCCATACGAAAACAGTCAACAAACACCACAACCTCCCCTTTCCCTTGTTTTTTGTAGTTGATTACGTCACATATTGCGTCACCTTGGTGGCGGATCCTCACAATATTTACCCATATAGTACAAGAATAATTAATAATTATTATACATATTATACATTAACATGACTATACATACATACATCTCATATTATTTGAATAATCTTGTTTGATTATACACAGGTGAACTGTGACGACAAAATTATAGATGGCACCCATGTACGAATCCAAGCCCCCTCTCAAAATGAACCAGCATACGTTAAAAGGAAAGGCTTCCACTCAGTAAATGTACAGGCGATTTGTGATTATACAGGTATGAGAGAGAGAGAGAGAGAGAGAGAGAGAGAGAGAGAGAGAGAGATTTTCTTCGATATTCTGAAATCCCAACTCCTGATATATTTTACTTCAAAACGAGAACATATTTTTTCAGGCAGATTTACCAACATGGTAGCTAGATGGCCCGGAAGTACACATGACAGTCAAATATTCCGTATGTCAGGAACAAGACAAACTATAGAAGAGAAGTTTCACTCGATTAAGGATGGGATTGTTCTTGGTGACAGCGGTTACGCATGTAAACCTTATCTTATGACCCCGTATCTGAGACCATCGACACCAGCTCAGGAACGCTTTAACTCGGCCCATTCGAAGACCAGGGTGACCATTGAGCGTGCATTTGGTTGGTGGAAGAGGCGTTTTCGCGTCCTCCATGCTGAAATACGGATGACACCGGAGAGGGTCTGCACAGTCATAGGTACAAGGCTTAGACAGATGTAGTTAATAGGCTTAGGAACATGTTCATTTAGTATTCACAAGTAATTATTTGCATGTTTTTAGGTACCTGTTGTGTGAACGTATACGTTTTGATTTCAGGAGCATGTGCTGTACTTCACAATCTTGCTATTTTATTCCGGGAGCCACTTACAGACGAAGATCAAGACTTGGACGTCGATGGAAATATTCAAGGGCAGTACAACGGACCCGAGGATGGGAAAAACATAAGAAATTATATCACACAACATTATTTTTAAGAACTTGCATTTATTTTATGTGTACCAATGGAAACAGTTAAGGCGTTTATTGGTATACACTGGTATAGTTATTGTATTTTATTCATAAATTGTATTTGATTCATTTCTATATTGTACAAACACTTTAGGTGCGCTTAACAGAAAGTTGTTTTCAAATTCATAAAGTTATACTTGTAGTAATATAGGTTAGAAGAAAAACCCACGAGTATGAGAAAAAATGAAAAAGAAACAGTTAATCTTCAAATGACATATCCAACTCCCGTCTTAGCTTTTTGTTCATCAACCTGTAGTAAACCGTTTGCTCCCGTAATTTCTGTTGTTTTTCCACCAACACTGCGTACTGCATTTGAGTCACGTCTTCAGGTTTTACCCTCTTGCGTTGTCCTATATTCTCCACCTTTTTTGACCTATAATGTATGTGTTAAGTAAGTAACTATTGATGTAGGATCGAACTTTTGAGCTTATTGACATTCCATAGATTAAAACTTGTTAACAAAGCGATGTGTGCAATCATGAATTTTTATTTTATCCTATTATATTACATAATATAATATGTTATAACTTATTACATGTAAAATTTTACATTAGCACATCTAGGTTACAATAGGTCGACAGGTAAATGTAAACACTTTAGATGCAGAACTATACTTAAATTTCGCCAGTTTGAATGGTGATAGCAGATTCTCTTCAGGAAGAGACACATTTTGAATTTGTAATAAGTATTGATTATTTATTGAATTAAAAGATATTTATGCACGTCTATATCAACAATTTATTTATTTATGAACTATAATTACATGTTTGGCACCATGCTTGTCGTCGCTGTAGTTGTTATATTTTCTGGTGCGGTTACCTCTGTCGCCGCGGTTACCTCTGTCGCCACGGTGACCACATTCTGTGCCAGATCAGACTCATCGACGACCTGCTCTCCTTCATTGCTTGGAATGAGCAATTCCGTTAGCATGCACATAGTTTTGGGTGAGCCCAAGATCTCTATGTTGCTTTCGTCTGTTTATAAAAAAAAATAATAATAATGCATTTTTGTTTTAATTCTCTGGTGCCCATTTCCCTGTAAATGCAAATTTCAAATTTTACAAAGTCCCTGGAGGAATCTATAGACTGAGGAGGGTACGTGGAGGGGGTGATTTTCAGAGTAAACAAAAAATGATAACCTTAGACACCTCCCCCAATTGGAAACACAAACTCCTCTTAATACTGTAAGAAAAGACTTGGAAAAAAGACTTATGTGTCTACACCCCCCCCCTTCCATGAAATAAGGTTTTAAGTTTTGTGAAAGCTGTTATGTTCAGCTTGGGGGGGGGGGGGGCGTGTGTTTGTTTGTTGTATGCTTGACAAAAAATGTCCAAGTCTTACTTTTGTTACAGTTTTGTGAACTCTGACCCCCCGTAAAAAAAAATCATGGATATGACCTTAAAGTTGTCAAAATTCACACCCATGTATAAAAAATTCTATAATTAGATAAAAAATCATGACAAAACCTTTAAATGAAATAAGACAGACCACCAACTCGAATGAAGTAACCATCCGCGGTTTTCATAAAAATAAGGACACGACACTTTTTATCGTCCATCACAGTAACTTTTTACGAAAGGTGGCGTTGTTAGTACTGTGACGTCATTTTGTGAATAAATGTTGAAGGACTGTATTATATTTATTCTGCCTCTTTATGGATTTAAAGAAGGGATTCTTGTGATTTGCTGTTGGGAAGATTTAAATGATACTTAACGAGGTAAATGATTAATGATTTAACATACAGGCGGCATGTAAAGGCGTTGCTTGTGATATCTACTGCTGTAATCGCTCACTACCGCTATCCCGAGTGAATGCCCTTGAATCACCAGATGGCGATACCGTCGATTTCTAGTTAGGTAGTTCCGGTTTCACTTCTGATCATAACAAAAACAAAACGTTGGCGATCTCTGCTAGTTTTCCGACTTTTCCCTAACGCACAGGTAAGTGTTATCTATATTCTTGTGATTTTTATTACTTAAACTTTTCATTCCATTCCAAAAATGTACGCTTGCTTATTTTAACAGCATACAAACGGTATTCATTTTCAGAATGACATTGCAAATTGTCTCGAGATGATCTGGCGAAATTGTATCTATAAATGTCAGCGATAAAGTGTTTAAAGATATTATCAAACTTTCGACAATGTTTTCTTTGGCAATGAGACCTTTTAAGGGTGTGATTATTTAATGAGTTACATTACAAGTCCATTCTCGTGAAGGGGGGGGGGGGTCTAAGTACCAGGGACCTATATACTAATATATAGGTCCCTGTAAGTACTAAGTTTCCAAAGTTACAGGTCTTTAAAATTTTGCAGGTCATCATGGAAAACAAAATATGTAGTGGAGGGAAGAGATACTGTGTTCTTTGTTCAAACAGTCAAGGACAAATTCTTGAAAATGGCACCAAAATTTCACTTCATTGTTTGCCAGGAGGTTCTAGTAAAGAGGATATAAAGCGACGCTCGATTTTGGATTCAGAGAATAAAGCTCGTCCGGCCAAATGCTCCAATTACCTCGAATACAAGACTTTGTAACCTTCATTTTGAGAGAAACTCCTGTACAAAAAGTGCAGTTCCTGTTCATATGGATCTTTCCAAAGCAAAAAAGGAAATCTCTTCACGTCGTCCCCTATTTCGGAAAAATTTGGATGAAAATAATAACAGTGAAAACTCCGATTAAAGTTCCAATGCTAATTTTGATGTGAGTACTATTATTCATAGCATTCCAAGTAAAACTCAGGATGTTTCAACCCAGTCTTCTGTTGTTCATACAGATATCTCTACACAGACTAACAGTACAAATACCTGTGAACAGGAAGAAAGTGGAACTCAAACACATTTGCCAAAACTTGTGCCTGAAGATTTGGAGAACAATGACGACAAGACTCGTTATTACACAGGATTTCCAAATTTTGCAACATTTTCATTAATTTTTAACTTGTTATTACAACATGGGGCAGATAAATTGACATACTGGGAAAGTCAAAAGAGAACTACAGAAATAGAGGACAGAAGATATATTAATGAATTTACTTCCAAACCAGGAAGGAAAAGAAAATTACGTCCAATTGATGAGTTTTATTTAGTTTGTTTAAGACTTCGTTTAGGTTTATTACAAGAAATTTTGGCAGATCTTTTTGGAATTTCAATAATGTCAGTATCAAGAACTCTTAACACATGGATTAATTTTATGTATGATCATATGAAAGGGCTTATTGCTTGGCCGTCTAGAGAACAAATATTAGCAAATTTGCCTTCAAGTTTTGTTGATATGCCAGATGTCAGAATAGTAATTGATGCTACAGAATTTTTTGCGAAAAACCTAGTAGTCTTACTGCACAATACTTGACTTGGAGTGAATATAAAAATCACAATACTTTTAAGGTTTTGATTGGTGTTGCACCAAATGGTCTTGTTTCATTTATATCATGTGTTTGGGGAGGTCGTGCATCAGACAGACATATTGTTCAGAAAGATGGTCACCTCTTTTTACCACTTCTTGAGAGTGGCGATATTATATTAGCTGATAAAGGTTTCACAATAGGTGACTTACTACCAGGTCACATTGGTTTAAATATGCCCCCTTTTATTGCTTCAAAAGCACAAATGACTCAGAAAGAATTTTTCAAGACACAACAAATTGCAGCCCCTAGAATTGTTGTAGAAATGAAAATGGAACAAATTAAAAACTTTAAAATTTTACAGAATGTACTTCCTTTGACTGAGGCACACCTTGTAGAACAAATGATTGTTATATGTACTGCTATAACTAATTTATACCCCCCTTTGCTGAAATAAACAGGATGATTGAATCTGTAATGTTTTGTAGAATTTAAGATTGTAACAGAGAAATCTGTTCTAGTCAGTTGTGAGATATGTAGCTGTGCATTTTTATTAGGTCACCTGAGTGACTCAGTTGACCCTTTTTTAAGCTAACTTGCAATGTAAAAATAATAATGTGTGGAAATGGCTAAAAAAACAAAAAAATATTTTATTGATTTTGTTTTTTATATCAAACCTTACTTTAATAAGAACTGTGTGAAATAATGATAGGTGACTACCAAATCCCATGGGCCTCTGGTTCATTTAGATAATTAGACTTTTTTTTATATACCTGTATACAGGTATAAGAATTCAATATGTTCAAATGCATTGTATATTGTGACATTAGCACATCAAAAGATTTTCTGTGCATTTATTCCTATGTAAAAAAAAAAAAAAAATGTACGAAATTCTTCTGCAGTGACCATGGTGACATGCAGATCAAACACACTTATGTAATTGTTATTTGATAATGGAAGTTGGATTTAATAAATTTACTTCTGAATATTTTAAATTACATTTTCAAAGGTCTTTGTCAATTAAAAGATAAAACTCCAGATAAGGAAATGTTAACATCTTTATACTCATCACATTACAGAACCACCTTCTCGTGTGTGGCTCAGTTATAAACTTGGCTGGGCTTGCAGTCTAAGATATCTAATTTAATATTGAATAACCTACACATATGTATATGTATCTCATTTTAATTTGGGAATCAAGGATCAGGTAAAAATGTAATTATATTTAAGGCTAACTTTAAAATAATGTTTGCTTGCCCTCTCCCAACCCAGGATGAAAAATTTGGGTTGGTAAGTAGGTGGGGAATTTTTTTTCTAAGAAAATTTCAACATCAATCCTGAATTATTTTCCGGAATGCATAAAAAAAATAATTGCTTCCTGGAGGTTACAAAAAGTTTTGAGTCGGGCCTTTTTCAGCCAGTCAGGTGGGAGAGGGCAACCAAACAATTTTTTAAAGATGGCCTAAGGAAAAACTTTTTTTTGGATGCTGATAATCAAACAGTTTGCTCATAATAATTTTATGAACTAGAGCAGAGCTCGTTGCAAAGCAACGAGTAGGTCTTCCGTTGGAGCTGCGAACAGGAAGATGTGACCTTGAGTCAAGGTCATGCCACATTCTAAGGTTATAAGCAATCTTGTAAGGGGTATCACCAGTAG